CCATGCTGGCTGGGGAATTCTGGGAGTTGAAGTCCGCACCTCTTAAAGTTGCCAAGGTCGAGAAGCAATGGTTTTCAGGGTGAATGAAACCCCCAAAAATACAAGACGTGGCTTAGACACCAATCCAGGGGGTGTGAACTGCAGTTCTACGGGAGAAAGCTCCTCCCGCAAAGCAGCCCCTCCTCGAGTCCAGGATATGCATTATTTTTAAACTGTTTACTCAGCCCCCCTGCAAAGTGGCCCTGAGTGGCCCACCGGCCAAGCTGCGTGGCTCTAGTGCAGCCCTGCTGGCTGGGGAATGCTGGGAGTTGAAGTCCACCCATCTTACAGTGGCCAAGGTTGAGGAACCCTGCTTTAGAGCAGAGGTGACAAGGAAGCGTGTCAATGGAAAAGTGAGGATTTTTAAAGCAGCGTTTTTCATGCACGTTCTTTCCCATAGCATCCAACCCCCATGTTTTAGGGGAAAGCACCCAAGTAGCCCCCTCCAGCAGGACCCCCACACCCCACAGAGGCAGCTCAGACCTTGTGACTTTATTTGTCCTTTTTGCTTCCCTGACCCCGCCCCAAAAAACCCACCCAGGCAGAGACAGGATGTGCGGGAGCAGTCACAAGTAAAATAAGACACCGTCTGCCCCTAAAAATAGGATATCCGAAGGGCTAATTTCTGTTGGAAAAAGAGCCCAATTTGCCATCTGGCTGAGCCGTGACATCCTGCCGCATCCGAGCTACGGGAGAAGAGGAGTGGGGATTTTACAAGGCTTGGTTTCAACCCCTTTCCAGATTTTAAAGCAGCTCTCTTTGGAGGAGTTGGACTCCAGCCCCCATCCTTCCCAGCCAGCCTGGCCAGCTGGAGAAGTCTTCTTGTCCCTTGAAGACAAGAAGTCTCCTTGTCACGGAGAGGTTTCCTTCTAAGAATTCCCGAGGGATCGACGCGTGGGAAATACGCCCTCGGGTGCCCCGTTTGCGTTCATGCCAACTTTTTCCGGCATGGAGACGCCCATCTTCAAAAACGACAATCCAGCAGTTATTCCCTTTAGAGCATTGCTTGGCGTATCGCAATAAGGCGTGATCAATACAGCTTACTGGAAAATAATCACAACTGGGTTTGCATAATGGATTTCAATGGGTTTGTAAACCACCCAGAGTCGTTCAACAAGATGGGCAGTGACAAATTTCATATATAAATAAATAAATAAAAAATAAAAGAATAGGCTCAACCTTAAGCTACGGTTTAGGAAGCACCAAGGCTGCGTTC